CCGCGGGATTATAGGGAAAGAAGGCTTGCGGAGAGTCTACCCTACTCCTTAACCACTCCCGCAACGGAACCCCCTGTCAAAGCAAAACTCAAAAAGACCGGAGACAAGGGAGAGCGCAGGCTGTGTGCGCGAAACGCACTCCAAGACGCATCACAACAACACCACCTTGCTAGGTAGGATCCCGCCTGGGAGCGCCATAAAGGCCACATTAAGGAGGAGCCATTTAGTCTGACTCTCAGCCCGCAGTAAGCCACTGTACACAACAAGACACGCACTAGGTCGACTGCAGTGTCCAAATTATCCCATCAGTTGGCAACTTTCCAAGCCACGGCTTTTAGCACGCCGCGATAGCTCCAAGAGTATCAGACTGTTTATAGTAAGGAAAGAAAGGCGCTGAGGGTCGACCTTGCTCGCTCCCCCACCACCAGCAACAGGTCACCGCCTAACTGATCGATCGCCTGAGGTGGAGTCAGCCACATCAGCTATCGCATACACGCGCCACTTTCCAGCTTCACTGAAGTTGCGCCGTCATTAAAAGACGGCGTACAAGAAGATCGCATGCGATGATTAGTCTGCGAATCCTCATTAGTATAAGAGGCATTTCACTCTGTCCGCGGACGGTGGATGTTGTCATCTATCACCATCTACAATTCAAGGGTTCTGAACAAAACTTTCCTGGGTTACTCGGTCGACAACCTAATGTATGACTCCTTTGTTTTATTTCTGGCAGGACATTGGCACATGCTTATGCATCCAATCAGCACAAGACTTTCCACCAACAGGCGGCAAATTATGATATTTATTGTAAAAAAAGGGCCTCACGTTGGAACCCAGGGAATTGCACCTGTCTTGTAGAGCCATTCATTCCAATTCACCTCACCGAGAATGTCTGTGCCAAGTTGTTTGCATAAGAAGTCCAACCAGGAACGGGTGCTTAGGGAGCGTCGTTGGAAATGATCGAGGTAGGCTCGAAGCCACCTGAGCATCGCAGCTGCAACAACAAAAAGGAGTTAATTAATTTAAGTAGTTCAGACGCAAGAGAACTAAACCGGGAACCAACATGTTCCCCTGGTCATGCGCACGAAAGCCCACTCAAATGTCCGATGCTACACGGCATATACGGTTACATCAGAACAAAGTCATCCCATCGAACTAAAAACAGCAGTCTGTTCAGCGAGTGAAATACCTACACAGCAAGTAAGAGGACGAATTATGCCCGACAGGGTACCATGATCGGTGAGGATAATCATCCTCCGGAGGAGGCAGTGATTGAGAAGTTTCCAAGGCCCATCACCAGGTAGCGGGGTTTGGTAAGGCCGATGATAAGAAGGTCAGATTGATCCCACTCGTAGGACTTCCGTACTGTGCTTCAAAGCTACCAAGACACGATTAAAGTCGAAGAATGGTAAGTTACCAGCCGGCAGGCGCCATCGATTCTCTTCCAGATGGAGGTTCAAGGTAACATGGTATCCTCTTAATGCGACCTCTCTGGTCCATGTTAAGCCAATCAAGCGGTGTAGTGGACGCGCCTTTCAGTCAAGACAGCCCACATCAATGCCATGTAGTCTCGATAA